AAAGTTATAAATACAAATTTATAACAATAAAGGAAAGTTATAATTTTAAACCTCCCTATCTACCTGGTTCTCCACTATCCATACATCCATCCATCACTCCATCCATCTATCCTGCTCTCCACTACGTACATATTATATAGTATCAATGACCATATTTTCTGAATAATATTTTCTCCACAAGAGGGAAAAATGTCAGAAAATCATAAAAACCAGAGGCACTAAATTTCATCCAGATTCTGAAATTTCATGAGTCATTTCTGCACTTTTTCTAAGACCTAAAATCTTAGCTTCTTTATGGAACCTGAGGATAAGCCTCTAAAGACCCTGAATTCTAAGCCCAATACTAAACTGGAGACGATTCCCAGTTCAGTCCATGTGATAAATAGAACAGGGTCTGCATTACATAACTGCCAGGGGAGAAGGACAGCTAAAGGACTCTTCTTAGCATCACTGACAATTAAAATTGTAATACTGTACTGTAGCAACAACTGTGTGTCATCAAGTCGATTCCAACGTGTGGAACTCTTTCCAGGGTTTTTTTAAATTAGTGAGTGCTCAGAAGTGGCTTATCAGCCCAAAATTTGGAAGTCAGACACCACTCTCCCAGTATCGGCGTACCAGTTGCAACTAAGAATAAAAATGGAAAAGCTGGAAGCATTCCAAGACTTTATTTATTTATTTAACTTTAAGGAGAAGAGAACTTATGAGAAGGGAACTGAAAATCATCACCCTAAATCTCCCACCACATCACTTCCTGGGGGTTTAACCTACACATGTCAGATTTTTTAAAAAATCAAAAGAGACACTGACCACTTTCCAGGTGACTCAAGCGAGCAAGCCAAGCCACATGCAAAAAGACACTCCCACTCGGGGTAAGGAAGCAGCATTTTAATCAGCAAAGCAGCCTTCAAACAGGTTTCTCATACAAACAGGAGCTCAAACCTGCTGGCCTCATTCTGCCTCCTACAATAGTGCTTTGTTTTGGAATTTAGGAAGGGAGAGAAATCTGGATGAAGATGGGGAAAAGCAATAGGTATATGAGATTATGGGGTGCCAGAGGTTCCATGTAGGTTATCATTCACTCTAAAAAGAACAGGTAGATCCTCTTGTAATTTAACCCCCGCCCCCTAAAACTGTATGTCCAAAGATATGACCGTCTTGCGAAGCACGGACCAAAACATTGTCCAGCGAAAATCGCCCATAGGAAACACTGTTTTGCAAAGCGCAATGGCGATCGCAAAACTTCGTCGTCATGCGGATTTGTCGTTTTGCGGGGTAATCATCTAGCGAGATACCATTGTACTGAAAAAGTGTTATCATCCTCTCTCCCCTCAGCCTTCTTTTCTCAAGGCTAAACATGCCCAATTCTTTCAGTTTTCCTTTCAAAGGGCTTGGTTTCCCGTCCTGGGATCATCCTTGTCTGCCCTCCTCTGACCCTGCTAGCTTGTCTGCCTCCTTCTTATCTAGATGGGGACCTTTATACTGGCCCAATGCTTCTCTGTTTGACTGATTTAGGCACACTGAACGTTGTTCAAAGGTTGAAGCATCCTTGTCTCCCTTAACAAAACCCCAGGGCGAAAACATTTCCAAGACAATCGTACCAGCGCAGAGGGTTTTGTCGTCTTTAACAGTTTCACCCAAAATAAATTGCACAAGTTTTAAAAGGTACCACCTAACCTCTTTTGGCTGCTGTTGGCTTTGCAGCTGCCCAGCCCGACTGCCCTTCCAGGAGGAACTCTTTTCCCTGACCAGTTGGACTATTTGGGGGCTCCTTCCCACTTTTGTTATCCATAAAGATCTCCCACCTCCGTTAAATGGAACCTCCAAAACCAGAGGCAGCCTACCTCTGAATGCCACCCGCAAGAGGCCAAAGAACAACATCCATCATGTGCAACCAGCATGTAAGGGACTATGGGAATGATAGTCCAACACTGTTTGTGGGAGGGCCTTCCTCAGATTTTGGCTCCCATCCAGCATTTATAAGCAACTCTGCCTTTTTTGCACACAGCCTCCCTGCAACCTTAATTAACACCGAGTTGCAATTGGGTTGTCCCATTCCAGCTGGGGGGGAAGACCTCGGCTGACCCTTTAAGCCTACAGAGAGAGAAAGCCTTATCATCGCTCACAGCCTTTATGGGCTCACCTTGCTTTGCCAGGTGGAAAGAAAACAGGTGTGCTTTCTTTCCACCGACCAACGGAGGACGAAAAGGTGGTGATCTGAAAGAGCTAGAGAACTCTCACTCTGCCACTGCTCCAGGCAATGGCCTTGGGCAAGTCACAATCTTTCTTCCTCAGTCTCTTCTGCTGTGTACAATGGATCACGGCAAGCGCTAGACTTGCCTGTTCAATGGAACCTCCACTGACAGAAGCAGTGTACCTGGCTGAAAGGGGCCAGGCATCAGCAAATAATTTTTGCCTGCTTGCCGTACTAACGGGGAGGGAGTACGACAAGCGAGTACGTCCCAGAAAGGCCCCCAGCCAGCCTGGTCACAGGAGGCGTCCTTCAAAAAAGAAACTTCTCCAAGTCTGCAAATAATTGTTTAAGACTCAGCAACATACTCCTTGGTTTCGACAGGCCGGCTGCTCTTCTCTTATTGTCCCACTAAGCAGTAGACATCAACTCGTCCCCACCTTTCTGAAAGAGAGATCCATAGTTCAGGAAAGAACACAAGTTGGCCCATTGCCAAAGCCCCCCCCAACGCGGGAGCCCAATCCAAAACATTGTGAGCCGTTTGGCCATGACATAAGAGAAGCGGTTGCCTGTGTCGACACACCGAGAAAATTGCGACGCAAGAGGCCGGCGAATCATTTCATCAAACTCAGATGTCAACAAGGCCAGAGAGGGGGTGTGAGCGTAGGATACTGTGTGTGTGTGTCTGTGTCTAAGAGAAAGAGGTACAACTGCTTTTATAGCATCCACAAAATGCTAAAAGGCTCACCCTTTTCTCCAGCGTGATTTCTGCCACGCCGACAGCCCAAAGAAAGATTTTTTTAAAAAAGCCACATCCCTAGTCGCCTGCAGGCGCCGCAAGTTCACCCCAGGTGACTTCTAGCCTGTAACAACAAAAAGCGAGGATTCGAGAAAGGGGAAGGTCCTTTGTTACGACAGTTCCTGGCAAATCGTGAGAAGCAACCGCCTTGATTATACAGAGACAGGGTGGAGACTGCGGTTATGGGAATTTTCAGATTTTAGGTTTTACTGTTAAAACTGTTGAGGGAAGAAGGACGATAACTTCCTGGAAGGAAGATTAACTGTTGCATTGGGGACAAAGTCTCAGACAAGATGGAGAACTCTGTAGGAACACTATATTCTACTCATAAAGTCTTTCTAGATGCCACCAGTGCGGGACGCCAGCTCATCGTAAGGGTGCGTGTGTGTCAATAAATAATCTGCAGCAGCTAAGGCAGTATGGGTTCTAATGCGGAGAGGTGACGGAGTGGCCAGGAAGGAACCGACAAACTTTGGAGTGAGACGTGAGGAGCAAGACTCAAGGTCCAGTGTAGGTGTTAGGCAGGCACTCATAAGGACAAAGTAAGTCAGCCGGTCACCCAGTTAATTGTAAGGTTTCCTAGGGAAGGGCGCCCTCGAGGCAGGGCAGACGTCACCAGCATCAAATTCTCACTGAAGATGCAAAGGCTGTGCCGGGCTTGTGCTACTTCAGAGAGAAAATGATGGGACACAAGTCGTAAAGTTTAATTGTCCCTGCCTGCAGAAATCTAGGCCTTGCCCTCCCATCAAGGTGCTAGCTTTCTACCTGCAGAAAATATAATTGGGACAAAGCAGCAATTGAATCCACTGAGCGACACCGGGGCAGTTTGGAGGTGGCACCCACGCCAAGGACAAGCATCCTTCCATCAACAATCCCAATGGGTTGGTTCATAACCCTTTGAGCAGCAAACGCTGTACCCTCTAAGTCTGGATACCCGGGACCTTAGTTACGCCTCTTGGAACGGCGCTGGCCGAAGTTTCCTGGTTTGTTTTAGTAACAGATAAACAAGACAATCCTCCTTCATGCCCAACTTCTTCTTAAAAGCATTCCATGTGTACCTTATTTCAATAACTATAAAAGGGCTGGAGAATATGGGACCTTTCAGGGGGGGGTGAACCCCCAACTCCCACCAGCCACAATAAGCCTAGCCAAAAGTGTGGGATGATGGGGGGGATTCACAGTCCATCAACAAGCAGCTTGCTTTCCCTACCTTGTTGGAGAATGACCAAAACTTGACACGTTTACCTCTTTTGGGGGGGGGCTATAAAAAAGGGCCCAGGTTCTCCCAGCCCGTTCGGCCATGTTAACTGGTTCGTTTTAGCCCCCAGACCCCACAAAGAATCTTTTTCCAAGTTCTGACAACCACCCTATGAAGATGGTCAGCATCCTTACCCAGCTCCTACGGGAGATTTCGGCAGGATGGCGGAGCTGGAAGGGGTTCCTGTGGATCATCCAGTCTGACCCCTGGCAAGGAAGCGGGATGGGGGACTCAAACTCACAACCTCTGGCTCCGCAGCCAGATTACTAAACCCCTGGACTATCCAGCCATCTTCATGGGGCCGGATCCAAGAGCGCCGGTCCCTTTAAAAACCAAGGAATCTCTACCTTGGCAGAGGAGCTCCCTAATTTCTTAGATAAGAACTGAACATTTCAGGAGCTGGAATTCCCCAGCGAGGGTTTTGTTCCCACACCTGCTTTTTAGCTGGACTACAATTCCCAGAACCCCCCTTCTAGGCTGCTGCTGCTGGTGGATTCTGGGAGTTGTAGTCCCAAACCAGGACCTCTCCCCGGCTGTTTGGTCTGTTTCTCAAACTTTTCGGATGGGTTCTCCCCACCCATCACCTACCCTGCTGCGCCGGGCTGGGCAGGGCATGATGGGCGTTGTAGTCCAAAACCGGGAAACTTTTTCTCAACTTTTTTTCNCCCCTCCCGGGGGGGGGGGGGGGGGTTCTCGCCAACCCAACCCACCCAACCCTCCGGCTGAAAAACCCGGAGCTTTCGGCAACTCACCGAGGCGGAGGAAAAGCACCACGCTGAACATGGAGAGCAAAGTGGGGACCACCACGCCCAGGAAGGTGGGCAGTTTTCGGGCTCCAGTGGCCGCTCCCCCCGCCGGCGCCGCCGCCTCCCTTTCAACCGAGATGCTGCTGCAGAGGCGGTAAGCCAGCAGCGGGCTCCGCTCCGAGGAGCCC